AGCGTTCTCTTGGCACCTGCCAAACCCAGATTCATATATCAGACTGCCTGATAATGGAGTGTGATTCATCACTCTAGAGAACACGTTGAGTCTAGTGGCTGTTTGGAAGTGTTCTGTAGTGAGTGATGCAACAGAGAATAGGTGATTTTTACATGCTACATGCTTCAGCGAACAGCAGCCCCACTCTTTAAGTGTGCGTAGTCTACTGCTTCATGGCTGAGCTGTTGCTGTTTCTGGATGCTTCCATTTAAGAATAATAGGACTTACAGCTGGTGTCCCATTCTACAACAAATGGCAGTGTTTGTTTATGGAGATTGCAAAGCTATGTGCTTGATTTTATGCACCAGTCAGCAATGAGTGTGTCTGAAACACCTGAACTCAATAATCAGGAGGGGTGTTCAAATACTTTTGGCCATATAATGTGCAACAAGATCATATTACCATTACTAGTAATTGTCAGGACAGATGTCATATTGTTTGATGTCATGATGGCTAACAGGAGTGCATTTAATAAAACTTAGCCTGTGACATAAGCTGACATTAAATATTATGGCATCTGTCACGACAGTTACATGACACTGTTATATTACTAAACAATACCTGTCATAACATTTATGGTATGGTTATGCCAATTCAATGTAACAGGGTTCAAGTTAAGTGTTACCTTTTTTTAGTAAACCTCAGAATCAATCACACAAGAAAAACTGAAATTAGCACATTTGTTTTTCTCAGAAAAGTCACATTGAAGTCAAAATCATTGCCTTTCAACACAGCCGTATAGCATTTAGGCACATCTGGACACCAGAAAACGAACACTGTTTTAGATCCAAAACACATTACTTTTAGTAATTGTGTTGTGGAAAAATATACTCATTGAAAGCAAGTAAATTCAGTGCACTTTATTCAATTTAAGGTCCTATTTGTGGCTTACTAGGAGAGTTCCTCACACTCATAACTACATAACTTACATAATAGCTTCATAAAAGTAAAAAAGAATAAAAGAATAACTTGTCTTAAGATTCATAACTGAATAATAAGCCTAGCATTCAAGGAAGTAAAGCAGAAGGTTTGAATTTCTTACTGGAAATCAGTGACAGATCCTGTAATCTCCTGAAACTGAATACTGCAATAGATTGCAATATCTGCAGTAGACAGTTGAAACCAGATAGACTCATTCTTTATTCTCTAAGTCTGTCTATAACGCCACTCTTCCTCCGGCATGCACTTCTCTGGGTGCATTTTCGCTGTGGCACTGCAGTAGGCCAGCCAAGATTATTCAGATGTAACATTTGTCCCGGGCCATATGACGGCATCCAGAAATCGATATGATATCTCAAAAGGGCCTTTATATGCAGGGAAATAACCTTGTCCTTCATGCCAGAGATAGCTACACCCCCTCCATAAAAAGAAAGCACGCTCTAACTCATCTGCTGGACCAGAGTTGCAGGTCAGCGTGTTCTGAATTTATGACCGCTCTCTTGGCACGTTTTTCATTTTCTACATAGTGGTCTGGTTTTATGTTCCCTGCTGGCGTAGTATTATAGGTGAACATTACAGTTGCAAAGCTGTCACACGGCAAGGAAATCACCAAATTTGTGCCGTTGGAACAGTTGAGTGTTTGCTCAAAGGCTAATGAGCATTCGTCCATTGAACGACAACTCCTGGTGGGCTGCATGTCACGGTATTTATTACAACACTGACTGAGTTATAGTAGCTTTGCTTCCACAGTTGCATCATCAAAGCTCCCCAATCAGAACAGCCAGTTTGCTTGGCCTGTGTTCGAGGACGTTAAGTACGGTGCTGCAGGCCGAACTGTTCCTATGTGAGTCATACAGATCCTCTCTGGCCGAAATGTACTGAATTGCTGTGGTAATGAATGTTGCCAGAGAAGTTCCTCCTTTTCAGGCAAAATTAAGAGTAATGAAGTCACGTTCTGCATGGTAAATGGCCGCTTGATTGATGTCCTGCTGGAGACTAACTGAATTACTTTCACTTCCGCCTATGGCCTGAGGTGAGAGCCGCAGGGTTGCAACAGCGATAGTAATTGCTAATAGCTATCTGACGCCTATGCACGGGTCACTCATCCATAAATGCTGATGGCACCTAATGTAAATGTCCTATAGTCACTGCAATAAGCACCAGCTCAGATGTCATGTTTAAACATAATAAATCAATTAGACTGCAACTTCAGGACTCTATTCACTGATACAGCTACATGCCGCAGGGTATACACGTACAAGTGGTGGGTATCAATTAACGTGACATGAAAACAGCACTCCCCAAGTGATTTATTAGAATTTTTAAATAGATGAAAATATTATTTAAATGATCTCCATGTAGAAGCAAATGCATATATTAAGTTTACAGTGTGCCATCATCCTGCGTCGTATATTGCAATACGTTCTATATCGCAAAGAAGCATTTCAAAGTCCTTATGTTCGCCTCATGAGGTCTGCTGGGTATAATTCACATCTTCAGACTAACGTCATATGGACATTTAAGTAATCTTATTGAAAGACAGGAGCACGTGACACGAAACGTTTCACATTGTAAAGCCTTCACATACAAAAAGGCATATTTCTAAATAAGTAATTTCTAAAGAACTTATTGAAAGTATAGGTTTGTCAGAAATAAAAAGACAATATGGTTTAGTTTGATCAGTTAAGAGTAAATTAATAAATAGAATAGTGTGATACATGTGAAAATTTTTGCACTACAGCAATAAAGGTGTGCATTTTCATATTAGTTATGTAAATATGAAGCTTACTTGAATCTAAACAGAACACTTATGGTGTCAGTGTCATCAACAAAGAATTAATCAGTTTGATTCTTGAATAAAGCAGTGCAAGACATGGCTGTTTCCTTTGTGTAATCGCTCGAAACAGTGGCTCCCAATCCTGGTCCTGGAATCCCCCAGCCTTGCATATTTAGTGTTTTCTCTGCTTTAGCACACCAGATCCAACTAATCAGCTAATGAACAAGCCCTTTCTGAGTTGAAGTGGGGGGTGTTAAGGCAGGAAAATACTCATTTTAAAAGAACAGTTCAAAATACATACAAACTACATAAATACTAAGTTTAAATAAACAATAATACAGTCCGGTTCATAAATATTTATACTAATTAAAGGAAATTAAATATTGAATATAAAAGCGCAGACTTTCAGCTTACATTTGAAGGTATTTACATCCAAATTGTGTAATGGTGTAGGTTTCATGCATAGCCCCCATCATATCCTATTTAGGGACTCAAAAGTAATTGGTTAATTGACTACTAAGCTGTTCCATGGCCAGGTGTATGTTATTCCCTCATTCCCTCATTCCCTCATTTGCTTACAGGTAAACAGATAAAGGGTCTTGAGTTGAGCTATGTATGAAAATGGTTGTTATTCCTACACCATTCATCTGATTTGGGTGTAAATACTGATGCACAGTGAGAGCTGGATACAGTTATTAATTCAGCAGCACTACGGTTTTCCCTCAATAACCAACAAAATGACTACTTATGCTTTTAATTCTCTGTCTTACAGATGTTCACCCCAATATAATAATTTTTGTCTATGCATGTTGTATTTGTTATATATATATATATATATATATATATATATATATATATATATATATATATATATAGTACTGTGCAAAAGTCAGAGAGCACCTTTTCAATTATTTCATTTCCTGTCAAAACGGCCACAAGTTATTCATTTTTAGCAACAGGAAAAAGTAGAAAGCATATTTAACAGAAACCTAAAGAAAAGTCTCAACAATTAAATATAATATTGAATGTTTCAGTATTTAGTGTGTCCACTTTTTGCCTTTATTACAGCTTACATTCTTTTTAGAATGCTTACAGTTTTTTCAAAGAAATCTGCAGAAATATTTCTCCACACCTTTAGAGTTCAGTCTTAGAAGCTGGATGCATTTTCTGCGTCTCACAGTCCAAACAATCACACATTCAGTGATGTTGAGGTCTGGACTCTCGGAAGGTCAGTCCAAAGGGCCTCATTCACCAACATCGTCCTAGGTCTTTTCTTAAATTTGCTCTTGAGAAAGGTAGAAAAAGTCTACATCAGATTCATGACATGTTCTTAAACTGCAGAACTGTTCACACCTTTGTGCTCTTGAGTGTGTGTAGATTCTGTTCTTACCTAAGAACAAATCCCAAATAATTTTCTTGATGAAAACTGTGTAAGTGGGTTTTAGAAGAAATATCTTCTTAAGAACAGTTGGTGAATGAGGCCCAGTGTTCTGAGAACACCAGCAAATTTTTTCTTTTGTCTATTTCCTTTTCTCATTAATGGCTTCTTGACAGTTACACATCCTTTCAGACTCATAGTGTTGAGTTGTTGAGTGGTCTTCTCGCAGTGGAAGGATGGACAGAGACACCTGTGGATATTTTCAGATCTGAAGGAAGAGGGGAGCTTGATTTTCTCCTCTCTCTCAAGGATGAAAACTTTAAGTGCTGTTTATCTGATGGGGGCAGTTTTGGTGGTCTACCAGTCGTTAGGAGCCATATTTTCTCTATATCTTTTAGAACTTTTTTAACTTCAACTTTAGTAATTTTTAGGAAACTTCTTATTTCCCTATTGACTTTCCCCTTTCCTTATGGAAGTGGATTATCTTATATCTCACCAGAAATGAAAAATGAATAGTTTGCACTGAATGGCTCATTTGACTGGAATTTAAATAACTGAGAAGTGGTCTTTTGCACAGTACTGTATATCTTTTTCTTTTCTGTTTAATGTATTTGTGAGCTCCACCTGTGCTTGGGGGTTGATGGTGAACTCTGTTAGACAGTTTTCATCAACATTGTCTGCATAACCTTACAGTAATATTTAATAGTTATCTCTATATTTTAACACTATATAAAGCAGCTATCCCCAGAGCACAGGGGCACAGTGGTCATGTTGATGCATGACTTAGAAAATAAATACAAATAAATAAAGAGAACAAAATACTTCTATCAAAACCTATGCTGAAACTCAATTCTAGCACAAGCTATTAGCATTCAGGAAGCAAGGGTTTATGAACTAATCATACAAACTTAAATATCATGGGATGCTGTGATATCATTGTATTTGGTTATTTTACCCATGTTTTTGGAAAAATTGCGATATTGTGATATTGATCAGTACTGGCCAGCACTAGGCAGGGACACCCTGGGACCAAGTTGGGGAACCACTTAATTGAAAGAATCACAGTATAGTCCAGTTTAAGTACATGTTTAAATCGTGCTTTAAAACAAGCTCTGGCCTCTTGAAGCCTCTCTGCTCAATCTTTAGTCTATGGTTCGAAGTCAACAGTGTCTTGGCTCATGCCTCAGCGGTCCACGTTCATCCTGCGCAGTTTGGCAGGCAGATTGTCCTCTGGCCGGCCGCCGGCCACAGGCAGGGGGTTGAGATTTGGCCCCGGAATAGGCGGAGGCAGCAGAGTCAGTCTGTGGTGCTCTAATTCTCCGGTAGACTGGGTGTGAGCATCTGAGCCCACCTTCAGAGGCTTCAGCTGGAGCTGCTGGTTCCCCACTGGTTCCTCTGGACTGGCGAAGGAGCCCAGGCGCTGAACCCTCAGCGGCAGGTCGCCTGTGCTGGATGCTTTCTCACTGGCCTGTTGTGTTGCTGGACCACCTCCGGCTTTCAGGGCCTCTTTGCCATTTCTGGAGCTCATGCGCTGGAGCTTGCTGGGTAGCCTTGAGGTGGGATTCCTCCTGTGGGACGCCATCCAGGGAGAAGATGCGTTCCCTGCGGCTGATCCTGGGGTCACCTGGGGTGGGGGTGAGGGGAGGGGCCGGGGAAGGCAGGCAGGACGTCTCCTCTTGTTCCTTGACGCTGTAGGGGGGTGTGGGAACCTCAAAGGTGCTGTGGAACTGGGAGTAGTCGACCCGGAAGAAGCCCTCCTCAAGAGACATGACAGGCAGGAAGCGGTGACCCCATAAAACCTCGTCCTCGGTGTAAGAGGTACGAGCCTGGCAGGTCATACCTTGGAGAAACAGAGGGAGAGAGAGAGAGAGAGAGAGAGAGAGAGAGAGAGAGAGAAATGACAGAGAGTTGGAGGCAATGAGTCGGTCTTGGAAAAAGAAATTTAAAGGGGACATATTCCAAATTTCCAAACTTCCAGACTAATTTGTGAGCTTTTTTTTTACCAAAAATTTAAAAATAAAATTAATAAATAAATAAATCTAAAGCTTTCAACTTCAAAAATAAAAATAAAAAATCTTTTAAATAAGCATTGACAAAATACAAAAAAATGTATCATTTTCACCAGTTGAAATTTAGGGATTAGGGTTTGGAACAGACACCTCTCAATATAAACTACCCTATAAATCATGATTTTGTATGTATTTAGCAGATAATTATCATAAGATAACCCTTGTACATATCTAAGGTTTGAATACCTAATTGTTTTCTTAAATCTTTTTTTATTATGGCACCACAGCTTAAACTAATTCAGTAGAACGATCCACGTACAGTATGTAGATGACCTCTGTTCCAATTGGCCGCCCTGTTTTGTGCCTCGTTCAAACAGCAGTTGAGGCTAAAAGTGGAACAAACTGTTAAATCCTCACAGATGTTACAAATCTTCAGTCACTCCTTTTGGATGCCTCAGCCCTTTGGAAGTACAGTGGCATTCTGCAAAATGTATAATTTTAAATGTAATAGTAAAATGATACATGACCTTCTTGACTGCCATGAACAGCCAGCACAACATTTAACTACTTTTTAAATGTTTTTTCCATTTTTTGGACAAGTTGTTTTTTACTGTTTTCTTCTGACACCATAACTCTGCTAACAACACTTATAACTTCAGTGTGAATAGGTGGACTAGACTGCTGTAGACTGAATGGCCAGTCAAATGTAAATGTGTCTATGGCTGTGATGTCACAACAATGAATAATTCAGAAAGGTTTTTGCAGTTTAGCTCCCACTGACTGATGTGTGAATGACAGAGATGGAAAAAGTACAAAACCTCTCAAAATCTTTGTGGAAATGTGAAGCCAGAAAGGCATTGAGTGAAAGCACAAAAGCATCAACTTACAAACATTCTCAAGACTGGAATACAGGGCATCTACTCTAGCATAGGTTCCCCTTAAACACCATAATTCTGTTGCGCTCCTATTTGTTTTGCTCCTATTTTGTTTTTTTTAGACTTATTAGCCCAGAAGCTAATCTTATCTGACTGTGTGTGGTGAGTGTGAGCACAGGCATACTGATCTACGTGCACTCACACAAAACAAATATGACCTCATATGAGAAAAGAGCCAAGACGGTGTGACTCGCCAGAATTTAAAGTGTTCTGATCTGATTGTAGAAAAAAAACATTGAAGTTGTCGCCTCTGGAGTGTAACTTACTTAAAAATGCATTAACAAAGAAACGTTTGCACCTCGATCTCACCTTGCAGATGATTCTACATCATCAGAGACTTTTTGTTCTGTCAGTTCATCACAGAATGCAGCCTGACTCTGCTCTCTCCCACTTGCTCTCTCTGACTGCCTTTGATTGCGTATGTATCTTTAGCTGTGAGAGGCTGTTTCATTGTGTCAAAAATAAATCTCTGATCCTGTATGAAGCACCCTATATGTTCAAAAGTATGTGGACACCTGGCCATCACACCTATATGAGCTTGTTGGACATCCCATTCCAAACCCATGGGCGTTAATATGGACTTGCACCCCTTTTGCAGCTAAAACAGCCTCCACTCTTCTGGGAGAGCTTTCCACAAGATTTTGGAGTGTCTATAGGAATCTGTGACTGTTCGGGTAAAAGGAAAATGGTAAGGTCAGGCACTGATTATGGACGAGAAGGCCTGGCTCACAATCAACGTTCCAATTCATCCTAAAGGTATTCCTGGCCAACGGCCCCCTAGCAGTGCCATCATGGTCCACAGGTTGAAAATCCATAGGGAATTTTGGTGCAACAGCATTGCTTGGTGCTATAATATGCAAGAAAATGTTACCCAACCAAACACTGTCTAACTGACATGAAATTTCACATGCTGTGTGCTGTCCTGGCTCGGGTTCTATGAGGCTGATATCTGAAAAAAAATGGCTGCAGTCAGCCAATAAGATTTCAGCAGGTATTTGACAGTTTGCCAATCACCACAAAACTTGATATATATCTCCAGTTATGGACTCTCTACTACTGATTGAAGTTCGACAAGCATCGATCAGTGGGGTCTGAAGAAGCATGCCAAATTATACAGGCAATCTAACGTTCTGATTTACATACATTTTCAATACAGTAGTGCAATGACAAGGGATTGTCTGATTGACACCAAAGTTGGTACACCTGCTTAGTGCCTAATGTTGAAACAGGGTGCAAAGATCGGTGGGCATGTGTTGATAGGGGGTGCTATTGCAGTAATTTTACATGTTGAACCTATTTGTAAATTCATCAAATTATAAAACCATCATTTCCAATACATAATCCAAGAAAAACAACAGATATCATTTGAAAGTCTGTCATACCATACACATGTATGCATACATATTTTTATTTATATAAATTTAAAAAGATACATTTTTAACAATTCTCAAGTGAAGGACAGATCTTCTAAAATTATACTTAAGTACAAATGATCAAGCATTATACAACTCTTATGCATTTTTATGTTTTGACCCTTTAACAATGTTTACAACTTTACTTCAAACTCTTGTTTTATAAAAGCAAGGCAAATTTGTTTTTGATATGATACGACTCCTTTATTATGCATAAGTCGTGAATCACTGCTGTAAGCTTTGAACTCAGCTATCCTTCTTGTTTTCTCATAAACAACAAAATGGCTTTGTATGAATCATTTATAGCCCTGATCCATTTGTTTATGTAGTGATCTCAGTGTGATGCTAACCTGTGGTTTCTACGATGCCCTCCAGAATGACAACAATCTCGAACTGCTCGCTCATGAGAGAGCGCTGCGAGAGGTCGAAGAAGGGGCTCTTGGGGTTTATCTCGTGGCAGATGGTGAGAGGAGAAACGAGAAAGAGCTGATCAGCACCCGTCCCGAAGCCAACATCCAACTCCCTCTGGTCCAGAGGCAGAAACTCACCCTCAGGAGTCTGACGAGACTACAGAGAGAGAGAGAGAGAGAGAGAGAGAGAGAGACAGTGGGAGACAGTGGGAGAGAGAAGGAGAGGGGGAGGGAGAGGGAGTTTATAATTGCAGAAAATCACAGAAAAACTGCCCTACATATTAGAAGAAAAGAGCGAGCTGATTATACAGACAGCAAGCTTTGCAGACAACTTGTGAGACAAATCATCACTTTGCTATTGTTAAGAAAAACAAAACCTATAAATAACAAATAACCTTGTAAATAACACATTTTCTGTGCTGTATCTATTTTTCATTTCTATCTCATTTCTATCTCTCTCTCTCTCTCTCACACACACACATATATATATATATATATATATATATATATATATATATATATATATATGTGTGTGTGTGTATGTGTGTGTGTATATGCTGTATATAAAATTTAATTTCTACTCTTTATGTTCATCATGAATCACTTTGCCAATAATGTCAGAGTAAGAGAAAGACACAGCGAGAGAGATTGAGAGCGACAGAGCAAGAGAAAAATCTAGTCAAAGAGAGTGTTTGATACAGAGAAAAACAAACAATACAAACAAAGAATGAACAAAAAAACTGAGAGAGCACAAAAGAGACAAAAGAGAATATGAGAAAGACAGAGTCTCAAAGAGAGAGTGGGCCTCATTCACCAATTGCTCTTAGTAAGAAATTTCTTTTAAAAACTCACCTACGCAGTATTCAAGTAGATTCACCTGATCTGTTCTTATTACGGATTTGTACTAAGGTAAGAACAGAATCTACGCACACTCAAGAGCACAAAGGTGCAAATAGTCTTTAAGAAAGTCATGAATCTGATGTAGACTTTTCCTTAGGACCTTTCTCAAGAAAAAATGAAAGAAAAAAACTTAGGAAGATATTGGTGAATGAGGCCCAATGGGAGCAAGAGAGCTTAAGAGCATGTGAAAAAGAGAGTCAGAGAGAGAGCAAGAGGAAGAGAAAGACAGAGAGAGAGAGAGAGAGAGAGAGAGAGAGAGAGAGTGTGTGTGTGTGTGAGAGAGAGAGATAGAGAGAGAGAGAGAGGAAACATGACAGACACAGTGAGGGTGCTGAGGTGTCTCTCTCTCTTGTTCCTCTGCTGATGTCTGATCAGCGGCAGTTACACTGATAATGTACAACTGTTACAAACCTGCTCTCCGTCCGTCAAATTCTGCTCTCCGTTCTTATGAAAGTGCATGTCCTGGAGTGCACAGACAAAGACTTTAAATGAAGGTGTGCTCAGTGTAGATCTCACTGCAGCTCTGGACTGATATAGGCAAAGGCGAGAAATAAAGCAGAAAACTGTTGGTTCATGTTCACAAGGAGCGTGAAAGTCGTTTGCCTCAGCAACCGCACATGAGCAAGCCCGTCGGATTAGTTAATAGACCATAAAGATGTCAAATCCGTATAACATGCTGAAATTATAATTCGGATTTGAGCTAGCAACATTCCACCATCTGCACTCTAAACAGGCCTGGCTGTCATTTCAGACTGGCTGATAAACCTCTCTTAACTCAAACAGAGCAACAGAGAGACGCTTCAACGCTCTGACAGGCTTTTGAACGATAGGACACGTACAGAGACCCCCTAACTAAAGGACAGTGGGTTTCTTTAATAAAACTCCAGGGAAGTTATGATGGTTTTGTATTCAGGATCATTTTGGTCTTGTGGGTGATACAATACGCATGTTCAAAGTAGGACCTACAGTTGTATGCAAAAGTTTGCATGCACCTGGTCTAAACAACCTAGAACCCGCTTACATCACAGAACGCCTGTCTGTTTATGTTCTGACATGTAACCTTAGATCTGCAGATACTGACGTTCTGCGCATACTTTCTGTAAAATACAGAAAACATGGAGAGGCCTCGTTCAGTTATTACGCTTCTGAACTTTGGAGCTCAATTCCACTTTTTACTAGACAGTCAAGCTCAGTCAAGCTTTTAAGAAACATAGGAAAACGCACAACACTACAGAAACTTTTGACATTGTTTAAAACAATTTATGTGATCAGAAAGTGTGTTTCTTTTGTTTTCATTAGTTATTAATAGTTATTATCTTGGTTAGAAGAATACATATAACACATACTCGGTTCCTGACTCTCACTGTGTGCCACTTATTGCCTGTATTTGCTAAATTCCATGAGCAGCTAATCTGATTGAACTTAGTAAAGGACTGTTTAGCTGAACTAGGCAGTGGATGGTAACTGTAAATTCTGGTCTCCCTCGAGAAGAGCATCGGAGATAGTTAAGCTAACACACTCACATATAAAATAACAATATATTGTTTATTTATTTGTTTTTAAGCTAATGTAAGTTTTTTTTCCAAATAGATCAAATAGATAAATACCTCATGGCCAGATGGCTTTACACATCATTTTTTCTGATGGCCTAAGACAGGGTGCTCAGTCCTGGTCCTAGAGATCTACCACCCTGGAGAGTTCAGATATACCACCCTGGAAAATTCAGATCCAACACACCTAAAGGCCTTCATTACCTGGATCAGGTGCATTAGATTAGGGTTGCAGCTAAACTCTACAGGGTGGTAGATCTCCAGGACCAGGACTGAGCACCCCATGGCATATGACTTTAGCACCGTACTGAACTTTGCAAGAATTTCTCATTTTCTATGAGTTGGACAGTCTTAATCTAGGACTAATTACAAGGCTGATATAATTTGTCCCTCCCACATAGCTTTTATCAAAACATGTGCATTCCTGAACTGGCTTAAGTCTGAGCAACCCAGCAAATGAAAGCTAACTAGCTACTATCTCATTCTCAAAAGCAGCGTGGGTAGGTTAGCCTATGTAGGGTAATCTTATAACGTTAGTTTTGCATAGTAGCATAGCTGGACGTTGCTGCTCATAAGAACATCAGCTCAGGCCAGGACAGTTCTCACCAAGTCAGGCTGCTTTCAGAGCAGTGTTTTTTCAGATTTCTATCAGGGTCGTTGATGCAGGTGGGCCTGGGATTGATCAATCCCAGATTGATCCCTGGCTACTCAATCAAATGAGCAAAGAATATTTATTAAGATACATTTTTTTAAGATAATGAAATTTGGTTTCTGTGCCTGCTGTCACTGTATTATGGCCAAGCTTTGCCTTGTTTTTTTAACCCTCCAATCTCTGCTTAGCAACTGTTGCTATTTACCACTACCTCAAGCCTTCTGTTTGTTATATGCATGGCAGTGTTTAAGTTTAAGCTCCCGCTGTGGTCAAAAGATATGTTTGTAGGATGTGTAAAAGTGACATCCCGTGCTCAATAATGTGGAGTATGTTGTTTTCTACCCATCCAAAGCCAAAACTTAATTTAAAAAACATTATCTGCAAACTTGGTACTTAAAATGCTCTTATAATAAATACAACAGCTAAAAAGGTGTCAAAATGTCAAAGCAAATTGTCTTTATTTGTCTGGTGCCTGATTTTAACTCAGTTATGTTGTCCTTATTCAGCAGAAGTTCTGCCTGTGGTGAGTGGCTGCATGCTTTATAGTGAAGGATGCTGCTGGTTAGTGAAGTGTTGGTTGGTCCAATGTTCTGGTTCATGTGTACACAGTCTTGCTAATGTTTTGTACCACCATATGACTGTACCTATGCCACTATTTTTTTATTTTTTTTATTTCATACAATATTCCTGGAATGTTAAATCTTTTTGTGTATGCGATACAGATTATCAGCCCATCAAATTCTGGACTAGCATTGGCCTGGTACAAAGTAGACTTTAATGATCACTTATCCATATTTTTCTTGCAGTTTTTGCCTGCTTATAAGTTTGTTTTTTTTTGCACAAAAGAAGTAGGAATTAATTTTTACATGACCATTTTCCAGCCTTTCAAAAGTGATAAATGTGCTTTTGCTTGTAAAATCACCTACAGCATTAAAAAATGCAAATAAATACTAACAGGGCACAAAGTAACAAGATTTTTTTTTTTTTTACAAGCTGGTTAGAAGAACACAGGTTTGGTTCCAGATTTCTCTTTGACACCCTCAGCCACTGCGTAGGTTTGTGAAATTCCCAGCTCAAATGACTTAATGAAGGACTGATTCAGCAAAAACAGATGTTGGATGATAACTACACATAATACTGGGCTTCCTCAAGGAGAGGTTTGGAAATGGTTAAGCAAACACACTGAAATATAAAATCACTACTGATTGTATTAATATAATGTGTTCATGTTTCGTATTTGTTCTAATGTTAGTGCTGAGCAAATAAATGTTTGCTGCCAAGATAAACAGCTTTTTAAATAGAATTTTCTCTGGTAAGACGTTTGCACAGTACTGTGTGTATATGTGTTGGTTTTTGTAAGGTCACAAAAACAGTGAATTCAGAATGGGCTTTTTTGCAGGTTGTTTTCCATATATAGACTGTATGGACTGTGGAGTGAATGTTACATTTTGAAACTTTTGGATCTCAAAAAAAAGTCAGGAAATTTGGATTTTCGTGATATGGCCATTTAAGCCTGCCAACGTGAGCAAAACTGTTGATCAGACCAAAACAAACCGCATGTCCCGTTTGACTGACATTGTGCAAGCATGCAATTATTTTCAAAAATACACTTTCCACACTGTTCCTGCCATCAGCCTGCAGGACCCCCGTTTTACAGCCCACGTACAGCACCAGGTTCAGATTGCATAACAGCTTATGGGAAAATATGACAAACATTTGCTAAGAGTTCCTGTATGCCGTAAAACTCTTCAGGCTGGAGTTTCTATTACATGGAGCTCATCGTCAGTTTATGAAGTACTTGAGTAAGCACTGCCGGGCATGGGGCATGTGGAGTGATGGGGGGGCATAGGGGGTCGAGCCCCTGCCCCTTTTGTCTCAAAATTTCTACTGCCCTTTTTGATGGGCTCTAAAAGGTTAATATGCTGACATACGTCATATGACAGTGCTAGTTCTGTGTGGCTTTACAATACTCAGCAATGTTATCTCAACTTTCACAATGCATGAAACTGTAAGTACATCACTCTTATTTGTTATGTATGGCATAAAGACATAATA